CCCCCCCCCCCCCCCCCACCGTACAAACGTCTGGAAAATTTCGCGCCGACTTTGTGCAACAAGACCTTCGCTCGCTTTTAAAGTATCACCTTTAAACTTGGTAAGTTTTCAAATTTTGAGGCGTTCTTTCAAGCAGTGTAAATGCATATTCACTAACTGGTCCACATCAAAAATTGAAAAAATCTATGGAAGGGTCTGTTATAGTTGAAATAGTGTGAAATATCAACCTCGTTCCTCTCACCAATAAACTACTTATCAAAATTGACTCTTCGGCTTGATCAGTTGGTGTCAGCAGTTGCTGCAGTCGTTATGGCAGCATCTTTGATCTTGGAGGTAAGCGCTGACTCTTGATCATCTTCACTGCTATCGCTGCACAGTGCACTGTCACTGTCATGCAGTCGGCCATCCACCAACGCAGTACGCAGGCGCATCTTCATGGACGAACTGAGTGGCGGGATACGGTCACGTGGTATAAGGTAGTTGGACAGGTTAAACAAGTCGACGAACACCTTATACCGATCACTACAGAAAGAAAAGTGTAGGTAAAATAGCAAATTAAATGAACCGATATGAAGTCCCCGTCCACACTATTGCAGGTAAATTTCAGACACCGAACAAGTAAAACTTTGCTGTCCATGCTAAACCAGGTAATACTATGGCAAAGTTCAAAATCGGACGAAATGTCTTCTGTCAACGCTAATAAGGACTTCAAGATCCAACGACGCGACGGCGACAAGAACGTCGCTTAAAAAGTGAAGTTGCGTCTTTACAGTGATTATTCCTACCCACTTACTTTGTCAATTATAGGCGAACCCTCCTGAAGCTGAATTTCAAGGGACCATATTCAAGCTCAGAAACAGAAGTAAAATTTCGTCGTTGCTTGTTTACGTCCTCCATAAAACGCGAAATTAGGCATTTTCACGTCGTAGTCGTGCAAAAACGGGAACAAAATGTACAAAAAAGTGTGATGCACGTGCGAAGTTGTTGTTTTGCTAATTAAACCAATAGGACAATTGCACGATGACGATATCTGACTACAACTACCAGAATTCATTTCGGTTGTGCTTTGTTATTTAAACTTGTCAATCCCGTCGAGGATTAAAGAACAATAGCCTTAATTTGCACGAGAAAACAACAAACTCAAGGATTCTGGTAGTTGTAGTAAAATGACGTCATCGTGCAATTGTCCTATTGTTTTTTTGACGTTCTCGATCGTTGTCGTCCGCGTCGTTGGATCCGAAAGTCCCTTATCTGAACGGAAAACGCAAGGCTGCTAGAGTACACGTGCCACCGCGAAAACAACGTTCATTTACCATGATAGGTGTCCTGTGCAACGGCCAACTATATTGGCCATCATTGGAGATTGTTATTGAGACTGGGTCAGTGTTGTGTCGAATTGCACTTTGGGACAGTTTCGGGAGACAATTTTGACCAAGGTTCCCGCCAAACTTTGAAATAGCCAGTGAAAGAAAAGATAGCGTCCCTAGACAGCCCCATAATGAAATTCCGACACAACACTGACATAGCTTTTTGAGCAATCCCAAAATGGACAGTAGCCTCCGGCCCTTTCCGGGCCATACTCATCAGAGGCACTGTTCTTTGCATGACCTAAAACCTGTTAGTTGACCCACCTGACCGTGGACCTGAGATACTGATATCCAGATGTACCTCCAGTTCCTATTTTACAACCAATCATCCGCTGCGCCATCATCAAATGGTTGTCTGTCAAACAGAGAAAATGATCAACGAGTTAAGTAGGCGTTTTGACAGTGGGGCGAATACTTATAGCTAAACGTAGCCCCCCACGCAGACGTTTTCACGCGTTCCTGCCCCACTAGTGGGCCAGGAACGCGTGACGAACCCCTAAGAACGTCTGCGTGGGAGGCTAAGCGAAATGCGGACACCAATCACATGCAGAGCGACAGTTTGTCAACATCGTCTTACTCGTTCTACGCAGTTATTAAATATTTGAAGAAAACAATCATTGCTTTCTCCTGAATTTACTCGAACTTTTGACGACACCACTGACAGCATAACATTTACTAGATTTTCTCTTCTCTTTGTCTACTGAGCTGTTACAGATCTTTGAGGGCCCATGACTAGAGGGATATTTGTTCCTGTGTACTTGCGTCATCGTAGACTATACTTACATCGCCACTTCATCACCAGAGAGTCGATATCCATGAGTAACTGAAGGATTTGAAAAGGCTGATGGCATCGCGGCTCGTCACTGGTGGAATAACAGACACAAGGTTAAAAATGTGAGTTACTTTTCTCCGGACGCCACAACAGTTAAGATCGATTACTGTGGGCCCCATTTCCGTTGTCGCTCCACCCGAAGAGAAGCGACAACCGGAAATACGTCGCGTTCGCAGGCAAAGTGCAAGGCACCTTCCGCTACGCACATTGACTCCAAGTAAGTGGGGGACCCGCTCGTTCAGATCCTCTTCAGTAAGTAGGGACCCAGGTTCAAAAATAATTTTTGTGGCCCCTCGGGCTTGTTTTGGCCAAAAAATAAGGTGGAACCCGCCGTCCCTCGGGGCCTCCCTCCAAGATGCGCCTCTAAAGTAACCCAGAAAATGTGGACCACACCCCGCCCCCTGTTCTTTTTTAACACATTAGAATGGGTTTGTTTTACGAATACATGGTCAACGGCTTTAAGTCATTGCCAAGAGCCAAAATGGGACCATTATGGCTCTTGTCATTGCCCAATGTGCGGTAATGCTTGACATGAATGCCACGAACGAAAAGGGGGAGTATATAAGGGCATAAAATCAGTTGTCCTTGGACACTCTATAATCGGCAGCAACACGATACTTTCCCTGTGTTTCTCGGCTGGAAGGAGAGCACTGTAGTGTATAGAGCAAAGCAACATCATCAGGGAGAGGGGCTTTTTTAACGTTGAATGATAGCCTGTTTCTGTTAATCAAACAGAAGTTTCTTACCGGTAAAAATAGATCATCAACGCCCCTTGCATAGCTTTGTGAGAGAACCTTCTTTCACCTTAAAATCAACGAGAAGGTTAACGTTTTATGTTAAAGGGAGGTTTTCTAGTTCTTAATGCGTTTTCTCATCCTTCGTACTGGGTTACTGATGTTCGCTTTGGGTTTCACTGGATTAATGGATCCTTGTCAATGAGCCTGCGTGGCAGGCGTTTGAAGGGAAAGGGGTAGGAGTGGAGGGGGCGCTGTGGTGGTTATTCAACTCGGTCTCCGTGGGTACAAATCCTGCTCTGACCACCTTTACTTAACTGCTCTCGCAGAAAAATACCAGGTGTTTTGCATTGGAGAAAATTGGGAACATATAGATTGTGAGGAGTGCAGCTTTTTACTGCATTCCATTCACACAACATTACCTCTAGCAACAAGCTGGTTATGTCTCTCTTCATTGAAAATCGAGTCAAAGGTATCCTGAAAATAAACAGTATTATAATAACACGTACACCGTCAACAAGAAAAAAGACCTTCTTTCTCTGATAACTTTGCAAGCACTATATAGGGCTCAATACTTTTCAATCGATGGGAAGCTCCAGAGTTGCATGAGCTAAATACATGTTTCTTGTTGTTGTTGCTGTCGTTCTTTTTATTTGTTTTTTTTCTTTTTTTCAGTTTTATCTCCCCGTGTCCCATGCAATGACCAAGTTCAAAAGAGATTGGCCAGTGTGAGAATGAGGGGGAGACTATGTCTGTGTTATGTCAAATTGCACTGTGGGATCGCTTTGGGGGCAGGATATGGACCCAGTTTGCTTCGCACTTTTAACATCGTAACAGCCACTGAAAGAAGGGATAGCGTCCCGGAAGTCCCATAGTGCAATTCGACACAACACCGACCCAGTCTCTGGCAAGACTTCAAAATGGCCAATAGTCACTACATAGCCGAACAATACCCCAACTAGTCTACGAACAAAGATGTATTTCGGGTTGATGAAACGAAAATACACTAGCGGAAATACACTGGCTACAACGGAAGGAAAACAACGCATGCAATGGTTGAAAGTTTTGTTGTACCTTACACTGAAAACAGTTGTGACCACAACGTCGCTGTAGTTTACCGTCACATAAAGTATTGCACTTGCTAACTTAGTAAGTTTATATAGATCTTTTAGTTCACATTTCATACAATTGCGTTTCCTTACCAGTAGTATTGTGGATATAGGGTCTTAGGTATCTGCAGTATAACTGAAACGCGCTACATCACTTGCGCGTGAGATACCCCTGAAGGTATCAAGTTTGGAAAAGCTTGTAGAATTGAATTGATAGAGGATATTTGTTCCATGGTGACTATAAAATACTGGACTTGTGTTTTAAGCCTCCAATTCAGTTTTTATTGGTATTTTCTCAGAGAGAGCGCGAGAGAAGCGGGCAGCTTGAATCATGTGCGACATGCAACAAGGGCTCGTGACTCCACCAACAAGCATTCACGCTTCCCTTACCCTGACTTCAGACTCACTAGAGGGGCTATAATGTTTACCATTCTGAATCTAGCCTGCGTATTCTGAATCCAAAGCTGACTACCTCAGTAGTGGTAAATATTCACCTGTTGTTTCTTGACATCTTTTAACAAATTCGCCCGAACTTCTTCATTTTCTTCGACCTGTTAAACAAAATGTGATCACAACTTAAAAAACGTTAGTCTAACACAGAACATAGTTGTAGTGGTGATAACAAAGTTAACAGATATTAGTGTTGTCCTAGTGTGTAGTTTCGTGTGGCGGTTTTTTAAAAGGTTTCTAAACAAGACCTGTCCTACCTCAGCCTCCTCCCTTATAGAATCCAGCATGTCTTTGACACTTCGTTTGTATTTGCCCCAAAAGTCAAATCCATCTTTCTCGAGTCCAGGAGTCCGTTCCAACCAGCCCTGTAGGAAAAAGGAAGTTTAAAACGTCTGCCAAACACCTTTTAACTTAATCTGGTTCCCTGCATCTTCTGGTGTGACAATGAATACAAAAAGCTATTCCATTCCATTATTCTGACTTTCGTCACTTTTAAACAAGACAAGACAATACATGTCCATGACCGCAACTGGTGAAGCGAGAGCGCTACCACCTAAAGGCAGAAAACTCGGTGCAGAACTTGTGCAACGCTATGAATTCTAACTGAACGACTGATTTTTTGGACGTCGTTTACGCTTCTGATTGGACAAACTATTTTCCTAACATGTGTAAACACCGTTCGCGTCTCTGATTGGCTAGAACTCATTTACGTAAGCAGGAGCCGATTAAGAAAGTTCAAATGGCTTTCATTGGGTTGTACACAGTAGGTATGATAACTTTAAAAAATACCGTAAAATTCCGAAAATAAGCCCCTCCATGTATAAGCCCCTCCAAATATAAGCCCCCCAAAATCGTAACGCAAAAAATCTCCCGTTAAATCGCCCCTCCAAATATAAGCCCCCCGAGGGGCTTGTACTTGGAATTTGCCCTCGAATACAAAGTAAAACAAAGCAAAAATGGTAAATTTCCTTCCTCCTACAAGCCAGCCCAATCGATTTTGAAACGCACATTTCCCTCCGTAGATCAGCCCCTCCGAATATAAGCCTCTCCAAATATAAGCCCCTCAAAAAGGGCCTTTGAAAAATATAAACCCCGGGGCTTATTTTCGAAATTTTTCGGTACGTATATGAACACAACAACAACTCTTAATGTGTATTGCACTTTTTAGTACATTTCTTCGCTAGCACAACTATAAAGTGAATTTTCTCACATAACATTTAATGGATAAGTTGAACGCACGTCGACAAGGCTTTTTTTTCGGGCTTTTTGAAATTAAACGCGGTCTCTAACACTGCAACAACTTAAAAATTTGCTTAGGATATTTTACTGCTTGTAGACATCATAAACATACCTGGACAAGCTCTAGCAATGATGCTGTATTTTCCGAATGGTCCAGGCTTTGTCTCTCACATGATTTGATCTTGCGTCATCGTAGACTATACTTACATCGCCACTTCATCACCAGAGAGTCGATATCCATGAGTAACTGAAGGATTTGAAAAGGCTGATGGCATCGCGGCTCGTCACTGGTGGAATAACAGACACAAGGTTAAAAATGTGAGTTACTTTTCTCCGGACGCCACAACAGTTAAGATCGATTACTGTGGGCCCCATTTCCGTTGTCGCTCCACCCGAAGAGAAGCGACAACCGGAAATACGTCGCGTTCGCAGGCAAAGTGCAAGGCACCTTCCGCTACGCACATTGACTCCAAGTAAGTGGGGGACCCGCTCGTTCAGATCCTCTTCAGTAAGTAGGGACCCAGGTTCAAAAATAATTTTTGTGGCCCCTCGGGCTTGTTTTGGCCAAAAAATAAGGTGGAACCCGCCGTCCCTCGGGGCCTCCCTCCAAGATGCGCCTCTAAAGTAACCCAGAAAATGTGGACCACACCCCGCCCCCTGTTCTTTTTTAACACATTAGAATGGGTTTGTTTTACGAATACATGGTCAACGGCTTTAAGTCATTGCCAAGAGCCAAAATGGGACCATTATGGCTCTTGTCATTGCCCAATGTGCGGTAATGCTTGACATGAATGCCACGAACGAAAAGGGGGAGTATATAAGGGCATAAAATCAGTTGTCCTTGGACACTCTATAATCGGCAGCAACACGATACTTTCCCTGTGTTTCTCGGCTGGAAGGAGAGCACTGTAGTGTATAGAGCAAAGCAACATCATCAGGGAGAGGGGCTTTTTTAACGTTGAATGATAGCCTGTTTCTGTTAATCAAACAGAAGTTTCTTACCGGTAAAAATAGATCATCAACGCCCCTTGCATAGCTTTGTGAGAGAACCTTCTTTCACCTTAAAATCAACGAGAAGGTTAACGTTTTATGTTAAAGGGAGGTTTTCTAGTTCTTAATGCGTTTTCTCATCCTTCGTACTGGGTTACTGATGTTCGCTTTGGGTTTCACTGGATTAATGGATCCTTGTCAATGAGCCTGCGTGGCAGGCGTTTGAAGGGAAAGGGGTAGGAGTGGAGGGGGCGCTGTGGTGGT